ACTTGGTTGGAAAAGTCAACTTTTTGTCATATACAAACTTCATAAAAGTTCCTATATTATCATGAAACTACAAATCTTTCAAATTACTTACCAAAATGTTACTTAAGAGTGTAATATACATTCATGCAAAATAAGACAATTAACCTATTATGTCCCAAATAATATTCGCCATCCCATTTCGGTAAATAAATGTTACTTCTCTAAATTACTTTTGTATCTCCACTGGTACCTAGAAGCAAACATTTCCATAAACATGCATAAGAAAACTCCACAATCCCCTCTAGCAGTATCCCTTTCTTGTTGGGGTACGTCTATAGCTTCAATAAAGTCCATAATTATAGTGTCTCTATGGCCAGAAGGGAAATGGTCCCAATACCCAATTATTTCTAGCTCTGATACAATAGTATCACCAAAACTTTTGAATATATGGTCCATCATTTTTATACAATTGGAAGTAACCCAACCGTTTTGCTAAATCATAAATGGTTACTTTCCAAGTTTTTAAATCTAGCTCTGCCAAAAATCAATGAGCAACTATAACGTTTATGGGGAATAAAACCTGCACAAAAGATGAATAATTATATACATACGAATTTCAAATAATATATTATATGAATAAAAGTACACTAACCGTATAAACATCCTTCCATTTAGGAGCGTCATCATGACCATTTGCTACATGCCTTAAATAATGTGATTTATCGGGTACCCAATTTATATCTTGAGGGTGAATCATCCACCTTGCAACCGCCAGCCTTTTTTCCATGATCAAGGAAATCCATATTGCAATATGGTGTGTATTTTAAGATACATATGTTACATTTTTCTTATATATAAATTTATGTGTAGAAAAGTACGTAAGAAATAAAGAATGTTACCGAAGACAATAACCACCCACTCTCATGAACTGCAATTAACCTTGTCGAAAATCCCAATCCATTGGAAGTATATACAACTTGTGTTAAGCGCTAAGATTTAGAGAGGTACTAGCCCTTTCCTTCCAAAAATCCCATGTAGTAGCAGCCTTATAAGAGTCCAATAGTAGATGATTTGGCACATCACCATGGTCATGAGCAACATTTTCTTCATTTTCTTTTTAGAGACACTCCATTTGGTTTTTTTCCTTCTTCTTGTGATTTTCGGTGTGGACTCAATATAAAAAATGAAAATGTTATATAATTATCAACAATGTACTGTTTTATAAATACGCATATTTAGATTAATATCACTCTGTACGACGTCGGTTGATACTGTGAACGATTCGTCATTCGCTTTGGCCTAATGAAACATGTATGTGTTTTTTCATCATTTTCAGCCATCTCTGGTGGCAAATAAACCTGTAGTGTTAGGGTCAAATTTCGTCCCTAAACCATGAAAAAAGCATCGTCATAATTTATCTCCGGACCATGGTAATGTGTATTTTCATCCAGTTCATTTATCACTAAACCCTTTTTTGGTTTATCTTTTTTCTCCAATACATGGTCTACTTTAGATGACAATTGACACATAACGCCTATTAGATGCTTTATCAATGAGTTTGTGCTCATATTTGTCTTCTTTCCCGACCTTGCTGATTTGTTACTTGACATGTGAATAGAATGTTACAAGGAAGAAGCACTTGAGACCGTTTTCGTGTATGGTGTTTCCCCTTTATACTTCTTTCTTTACTGAGGTTCCATAACAGAAGGTGGTGAAGTTTGTTGCCGTGGGGGAGATTCCTCATTATTCAAAGTCCAATTCAAATAACACACATAATACGACTAAATGATCTCTGTGTCCATTGCCACAACAACACGTGGATGGTTGTTATGTTGTAGCTATTAGAATGTTAGTTTAACAAGAAAAAACATTGGAATGTATAACTATATATAATTACAATATAAGAAAACATAACAAATACATGTCTATTATACGACAACATTGCTCCCAATTTAGTGATGTTTCTCTTCTCCACACACTCATTTGTGGTAATTCTCACGACATGTGAGCAACAAACTGACTTGCCTCAGGGAATATATATGGGATAAAAAAGGAAGTATGATACTATTATAGTATAAAAAAGAAAGTTTGATGCTAGTATAATATAAAACAAAAGTATGATGCTGTTATAGTATAAAAACGAAAGTATGATGCTATTATGGGATGAAAAGGAAAGTATGATGTTATTATCGGTTGAAAACTAAAGTATGATGTTGTTATGGGCTAAAAACGAAAGTTTGATGCTAATATGAGATAAAACGAAAGTATAATGATATCATGGTATAAAAATGAAAGTATGATGTTGTTATCGGTTGAAAACAAAAGTATGATGCTATTGTAGTATAAAAACGAAAGTATGATGCTATTATAATATAAAACTAAAGTATGATGCTATCATAATGTAAAAACGAAAGTATGATTCTATTATGGGATGAAAAGGAAAGTATGATGCTATTATGGGATAAAAAGGAAAGTATGATGCTCTTATCGGTTGAAAACAAAAGTATGATGCTTTTATATTATAAAAACAAAAGTATGACGCTATTATAGTATAAAAACGATAGTATGATGCTACTATAGTATAAAAGCGAAAGTATGATGCTAACCTTAAAGGAAAGTACAAAACCGTGAATGATATACTTAAATATCTTTGTCGAATCAGGATTGGTCTCCTTAAATAGTTTAAAATTTTCAATTTTCTCAAACATCCACGCATTAACCCTGAAGTATATGCTTACAAATATGTACCCCATGCAAACCTGTAATTTTCATTTTCATTATTATAATTATTTTTGTAATTATATATATATATATATATATATATATATATATATATATATATATATATATATATATATATATATATATTATCCACAAGATTATATACTAACGCGGAAATACACGTTTCGTCTGATGAGACCCTTCAAAATAAAAACAAGTTGGATAAGCATATTAAGTGTCAGATATTTTGGAGACAAAATGTAGTCTTCTATATTTTTGAGCCCCAAAGCTGCATTAGTATAAAGAAATTCTTATTTATTTAGTTATTAGAAAATTTACATTATTAACTAACGTAAATAAGGATTCTTCTATCAAAGGTTTAACTAAAAAATACGGGTGTTATAGTATATTTTTGTTGCATACACCATTTCAGTAATTTCTCATAATTATCTAAGTATATTAATAGGTTTTGTGTAGACATAAAACTCCGTTAACTTCTTATTTTTCTTTAGATTATGATAATCACCACTAATACAAACAAACATGTTATTCATATTTTTCTAGCATATGAAACCTATTTCGCGCCGATTATACTTGCTAGATCGTGACATACTTTAAGAAAGAGTGTTTTTATGTAATAAGAAAAAATGATATGGTCATTCTGAATTCATATGAAGATATGAGGTTTTGGCAAAATAAAAAATCGTTCATTGAAAGGTGATAACAAATTGTGAATACGCATACTAATCATCAAATATGTTATTTGTTATTTAAAAGGTTAAAAAATGTTGTTTATATAATTGAGAAATATTAATATAATCTGATTTTAAATTAATTAACAATGACAATAAATAACATTAAATTGAAAATTCTATTAAATTATAAATATATAAAAGTAAAAATCTTAACTTGAAAATGATAGTTGGTTAAATAAATAAACAAATATATTTATAAATTAAACGAGTTTATAAAAATAATATTAAATTAAAAATGATAAAAAAAATCTTTTAATTACGTACAACCTACAGATAAATATAATCAAAATCATATGATTGAGTATATATTTTACAACATAATATTTAATTTTTCAAACCTTCTAATAAACCTCCTTTTTTCATATTAGTTATTTTTAACATACAATATAATTTTATTTTTCTGCAGCTGTTCGAATAGTTATCCAACCTGCAGATGTCAACAAACAAAAAGTGAGAAACCTCCGAATCACCCTTCCCCACTTCTACCCCAAAATATAGTTCAGGACTTAGCTTCAAGAAGTGACACATGAAGCCCTTATATAACAATAACTAAATAACATAAACAATCATTTTTTCACTTTAAACAAATTAGAACACTTAAGTTACAAAGCTTGAGTTGTACTCCATTTAGTATATTTGACAAAATTAACTAATAGCTACATAGTTGGTAGTGAAAACTAAAAGTATAACTGTTATTTTACATAAAAGTTAAAAAAAAAATTTAAGCTCATAAAAGCGACCTACAATAAAAAAAAAAATTATTTTAGGTTTTTGTTCAAAGTAAAAGTTTTAATTTTGCATTCCCGAACAAAGCTTATTCTTTAACTCGATTTTTTTATTAAAAGTGAACAGTAAAAGCTCTCAAAAAGCTACTTACTATTACACCGCCTTTATTATCAAACCAACTACAATAAAAAATACAACAGTCGAGGGCTCGCTGACATAATACTTAATCTCTAAGATCTCTTGCAATATGTCGTAGTACTCTAACTCTTGTTCGGTATTATACGTCTCCCTCATCACACATACTTTAAAGTTATTCGTCACACGACCCTCACCATATTGTGTGGAATAATTCCTTTTTGGGACACACTACAAAAAAAACACTAATGAGTGACGAAAACGAAATGATCACTAACAATAGGAGGAGGGGTCACTAAATGATTTAGTGACCACATTTTTTGTCGTCATTTTTCGTCACTATAGGTCCGTCACAAAATTTGATTAGTGACCAAATTGTAAAACTGGTCACTAAATAGTGACTAAAATACTTTTGTCACTAATCTATGACAACCTTTTTCGTCACTAAATGTTGTCACTAATCAACAAAAGTCGTCGCTGTTTTATCTAATCAGTGACCATAAAAGGTCGTCATTGTTTTATCTAATTAGTGACCATAAAATGTCATCACTAGTTTATCCAGTTAATGACCATAAAAAGTCGTCACTGATTTATCCAATTATTACCAAAAAATCTGGTTACTGATTTTTGTTGCTATTTCTTGTATTTGACCCATTTGTTCTCAAATTTAAACAAACCCACAAATATATAAACTGTTTTCTAATTATAAAAGAGAAGCTAAAAGAAGGAAATTTCTTTTACAAAGATCTAAATCACTAAAAATTACATAGTTAAAAATGGGTTATATTGCAATTTTTCATTCCATTCCATGATGGAATGAAATAAGGATTGAAAATTAACAAAAATGAAGGAATCACATTTCCTCCGTAATAGCCACATTCCATTCGGTAGTGGGGGCTTGAATAAGCTTTTTCAACCTCAGCCTCAGCCTATGCCCTTTGCTTTAAGTAATATTGCTTATTAGCTTCCTGCAATAAATGGTAACATTAACATTGCTTATAATCAACATATCAACATAATCTATGTTGCTTTTTCTTGCATTTAATTAAAAACAAGTGAAAGAATAGCAAGAGTTGTTGCAGTGTTGAAAGGCATACCTCACATGAATCTGAATGATGGTCCTGCATTCAATAAACATGAAGCAGGTAAGGATAGATGACACCCTCAAAGAAGATAATTGAGTAAGATCTCAAGAAATCTGCATTTCAAAACCATTTAATTGATGAACAACTTGTGTTAATGTGAGGTCTCATTTCAACTAACATGAAGCATTTCAATATTTTTGCAACTGTCTCCTGCTTAGTAGCTTCACTTAAACAAACAGTTAAATCTCCTAGCAACATGTGTAACAAACGCATAAATCTATTTCAGATTAAAAAAAATAACGGTCATAATGTTATTTAAGCAGATATGATATATTCCATCATTATATTTGGTGAATACTTACATAAGCAATTTCAAATTTCAAATGGATTCAACAGCAGCAACAAACTCCAGTAGATCAATTTCAAATTGAAAATTAAGAAATTGGCTATGATTCTTGGAGTTGGTGGTGCTGGACCTGTTGTAAATAGAAAGAAATGAAAGTAGGATGCTATAATAACCAAGTAATGAAAGTGCATTGCTATTTATAAGATTGATAATGTCGTAATAGAATTGGTAAATTGAAATAGAAGAGAAAAAAATTATTAACTAAAAAGTAAATAAGGATCTCACTAACTTGTGATTGAAGCATCTCGTGTAAACTAGGAAAATATTCGGCTATCCAACAATCTGCAAGAATGATATTAAAAATGGTTAAATGCAAGAAATAGCAATGAACTTTCATACATTTGTTTATTATATCCTACTTTAATGAAATCTACCAATTTATAGCAATGTCATCCGGATACAAAGCAAACTTATGTCGTAATTTCAAGGTATAAGGTCTTAATAAGATAAAAATTGAAAGTACAATACCATAATTGTTCATTTTTAAAGTATGATGCCTGTATATGAAACAAAAATGAAAGCACGTTGCTATTTCTTACCATGTAGAAAACCTAAGTACCAAATGTTTTGTTCCTAACATTAAAAATAAATTCAATTAATGTAAACGAAGTTTGTGTACCTCAAAAAGTGTAATGGTTTGTAAATAAAGTAAAATAACTTGAATTTGTAAAAGACTACCTTTGAGTCCTTTGTTTCCTCCAAAAATCTGACATATTAAAATGTTTGTTTCACTTCATGCCATGAAAATTTCTGCTCGACTTAACACAAATTTAACATGGCTGACTACTTCTCATGAAAATTTTACACCCCTGTTGTAAAAAAACTACATTTAACTAATAGTCTGTTTTGGCCTGGAACAAAATAAGTTCATAAAAGATTTAAAAAATTGGAGTTTAGAGTCCACATTATTAAAAAAAAAAGACAAAAAAACTTCTATAGTTTTACAATTTTACTAACCTATTAACAGTAGGAAAGAGAATTCTTTAATAATGAAGACTGAGCTTTGACTTCTTTTTCAGATCTTTAACCTTCACAATGTTAAAAGCCAATAAATAAACATGGTTATATATATATATATATATATATATATATATATATATTGTTGTAAAATGAAAATTAAGAAGATTACCTACCCTGAACAAGGTAAAGGAGTAGAAGGTTTTGGTGACTTGTTTTCTTTACTAAACCTTTCTTTCCACTTGTTATAGGTTTCATTGAACCTTTGGATGCTTCATTAGACACGTATTTTTGAAACCGCTCAATGTTTGCTTACGTATTGTTGCCCTTGTAAGTTTCTTTTTTGATGCATGCTTTACCTAAAACCAGTCATAAATCAAGCTTTTGAAGCATGGAAAATATATGAAAAGGACATTCAAGAAAGTAAAAAAGATTTAGAAAGATTTACCTTATAGGCTCAGTCACTCTGATGCTAGTATTATCATCATCCTTATCAAGTGGTTGATGAGTAAGGGGCAAATAAGTCATATCTGATGCCACATCCAAAACTATTTCTTCAGTGATTCCCACTACATCCTCAGTTTCACTTTCATGTGTCCCATCAATCTTCACATGGTCGTTAGTTTCTTCCACGTCTTTAAAAGTGAAATTTAAATTTAAAATTTTAAATACAAAATTAAAAATTAAAATAAAAACCCTTTTTATTCCATAAAAAAATATTAATCTTGAAATTGTGTAACATTAAATTTCTACAAAAATACCTCAGAAGCAGTCTCATGCCCTCAAGGCATTACATGAATGTGTGTCTAAAATAATAACTTGATATTTAGTTTCTTTCATACCTTTAAAGATGCCAACTGGACATTCCTGCAAACATACACATAAAAAAAGAATAAGAACCTACTTAAAAGGGTAAACACACCGAGGTAAATCACAATATTACCAAATATATCTCGCAGAATGTACCATAAAGCCCTTTAGTTCACTCCCAGTTATTGTACCATCCTCCCTAGGAAGAGCCTCTCCATCTCCTTCACCACCCCTGTAGTAAAAACAAATTAGGATTCAGTTACCAAAAATATATATAGTTATTATATAGGTCTAAATGCAAGAAATGAAGAAATAGCAACTTACCTTCACTTCTATCAATCACAGCATTATTTTTCATTTATTGAGGCTTTGTTCTTCAAAAAGATTACCAAATTATAGTATTGGACTTCCGTTTTATTTTCATATCGGGACATGACACTTCGAAAAAATTATCCTATTGTAGCAATGAAAATTGCTTTTTATTTGAATGACGTTGCTATAAATAGCTAGCTTTTTTCCAAAGTACGAAATAGAAGTAAGATGCTATTTCTTTCCTTATATAAGTGTAATATGGTGTGGAGTGTAAACACTTGGTGAATAACTTAGAAGATACAAACGGATTAAGTTGTAGTGTGGAATAAGTATAAAGTTTTAAGAATAGGAAGCCTACCAGGTGTTGTTAGTAGTATTTATCATTGCAAGAGGAGCATAGTCATCTCCTGTGCCAATTTTGGACCAGTGGAAATGAACCACCACCAACAAGGACACCATAGCCTCTGGTAATAGATAAGGAGGGAAATTGCCTGTATGAAAAGAACTGTTCTAGAACCACTGCCTAATACTCCAATAAGAGTACCATTACTGTTTGTTGTTGCATTCCTATAGCTTTCACCATCAGCCCTCATGGATCCATAAACTCAAGCTTCTTATAAGAGGCCATTGTTTAGATCCCATCACTGCAATAAATGAATGATAATAAATCAAGATTTATTTTGTGTTCAATAAAATAAAGTAAGTTATAAAATTAAATATAATTTACCGATCATTCCTCCTCCAGCAACATAGCCAACAGACTCATTGGGATTTGGGACCAACAGTTCCACTTCCTAATTCACAGGGAATAGCTGGTTTGCCATATGTGGTACCACCTTCACTCAGCCTTCCATGATACAATCGAGTACCCCCTCTGCCACCATGCCCATCACCACCACACGCTCCATTTGAATAGTTTCCCAAACCAAAACCATTTCGACAACCTGCGTTATAAGTATGTACATTTTGGTATTTAAAAAAGAGATTGATAAAAGATAATGTCATACGAAGTTTGAAATCAAAAGCATGCATGCAAATGGGAAACACAGGTCTTGGCTACTATAAGGGTGTTTGGTTCGAATTTGAGTTGTACTATTAACATTTCATTGTGGAATTTCATCGAACACTTGGTGCTCATAAAATTGATGGAATTAAGATTAGCGAAATTAAGCTATAACAGAACCATTAATGATCCAACAATAGCGAAATCCACTTAAACTCAACATCAATTCGATGTTCTATATTCAAAATTAAAAATTCGAACTGATTGATTATTTCTGGAAGAGCGATCGTCATGCAAAGTAGATGAGCGTTGAGAAAATACCTAAAATCGAAGCAAAGATGAAATTTTAAGTATTAGAAGCCTTGTGTTGGTATACATACAAGCGTTGGAGCAGCGCCGACGGAAGACGGAAGGCAATGTAACGATGGTGTCGGTGGTCGATGCAGATTGTTGATAGAGAGAAGGGAGGCGAGGATTGTGCGTAATGGAGATGAGACTTCTCTTCGGTTCAAAATAAGGGCATTGTTGTCATTTAAGTTGATAAAATATCCAATGAAATGTTATTAATTTATCCCGAATGATAATTTTCGTAAGTGACTTCTCTTTGGTTCAATGACCACATACCACTACTTGATGGTCATAATATTATTTTACCAAGTGACCACTTTTTCTGGTCACAATTTTATTCAATGACCGCCTATTAAGTAGTCACAATGTATTATGTGGGTCTGGAAAAAAATAGAACTAAATGATCATTATTTTTGGTCAATAAGTCTAATGCAATGACACCTATTTGTGGTCATTAAGCGTCAAATCAGTGACTACTATTTTTAGTCACTATTTATTATGAAATTAAATATATAAATATCATTTTTTTTGGTTAGTGACCGTTGAGTGACGACCACCAAAAGAATTGGTCACTAAACTTGTAGTATTATCAAATTCCAGTGACGACTTAATATATAGTCACTAAATGATCATATTAGTGACCAAATTTTTGGTAGTCACAAAAAATTCGTCACTAAAGAGAACTTTTCTTGTAGTGACAACACCACCATCCTTCTAATTTTATTTTTAAAAAAACTAACCATTCCCACTATTGTTGGACTGGGTGATAGTGGTGTTGTTCAAAATATATTAGTCTCCATATATTTAAAAAATATTAGGAGATTTGGGGTGCGTGAGATTTGTTTTTTGGATTACTTTATTTAAAATAATACAAAAACAATTAAAAGAAATTAAAAACAATTGCAAAATAATAATCCAATAAAATAATATTTATTAATATATAAGTATTATATATTAAAACAATAATTATTAATAAATTACAGTCCAATAGAAAAATTAAAAGAAAATAATAATCCAATAAAGTAATATTTTTTTAATATATAAATATTATATAATTAAAATAACATTTATTAATATATAATAATCCAATAAAAAAATAATCTATTAAAAATAAATTAAAAAAGAATTAATTAAATGTAACTAATAATCCAATAAAATAATATTTATTAATATATAAATATTATATAGTAAAACAATATTTATTAATATATAAAAATTAAATAAAAAAATAATCCAATAAAAAGAAATTAAAAAAAAATAATGTATAATAATTGAATAAAATTAAGAAGAATAGATACAAAAATGGTCTTTATAGTTTGGTTGCAGAAATGATCATGAGGGTAAACATATCATTTTAAAAAAAAGTTAACTGTAAAACTGTTAAAGTTAATATTTTTTGACAAAAAATACATAAGATATCTAAAATTGGACCATTTTTACATCAAAAAATATTTTTGGACCTAAACTATATAATTTCGACAACCAATTATTTTTGCAATTAAAAAAACACAATTAAGTGTTTGATAACCTGCAAGGTTGTAGAGGCTTAAATAACATGAAACAACAAGTAATATATACATATTAGAGTTTTTGTTAAAGAAAAATATTTTAGGTCTAAAAAATGAATTTTTAGAAGTCCATGCGTACATACTGACAATGATAACACCGAAACGAAGCGGCAAAACCCCTTTCTCAGAAGTCAGATCATGAGAGCAATCGCACTTTTATTAGAGCATTAGGTGTGGGCAACAAGGTGCAACACCAAGTTGTGCCACCTCACATGCCACATAAGCAAGTGGTGTTATAACACCAAGTGGGGAAATGAGCAACAAGATGCAACACCAACTTTTTGAAAATAAATATGTTTTCTTTTTTATTTTTTTTTCCGAAATTGGGTTTTTTTTTACTTTTTCGTTTTTTTTTACTTTTTCGGTTTTTTTTTTCTTTTTGCATTTTTTTAATCACTAACATGAATATATTTTTTATAAAAATTTTTTTTTTTTTTAAAAAAAAGACATAAAAGGTTGAAATAATTACAGTGGCGGTGAAGCGGTATTGAAAGCGGCGCCTTGGTATGGGATTTGTGGTGAACCTTGAGACGATAAAATGTTGAAATAATTTTCATACCCCGGAAATCCACGCCAATGTTTGGGTTTTGCTCCATTTTTTGAAATTTTAAGAAAATATGTGTATAAGATATAGAGAGAATGAGAGAAAGGTTTAACAAAATTTGAAATAAAATGAGTATATGTATATATATAGGTAAAAAGGTAAATTTTTTTTTTTTTTTGGTTTGAATTTGACCGTTTTCAAACGGTCTAAAGTCACAACGTATATTTTTTTTGGCGTTACACTTCGTTTCCATGGCAACGAGAATCGGACGACGAGATGCAACGAGATGGGGGGCGGTGTTCCCCCCGTTACGACGGCGTCGAGAACGGCCACGTCACCCTCGTCGTTTCTCGTTTTGACCCATACCGATCGCTCTTATATTATATGCGGTTTGCCGCTTTTGAGTTAGGTGGTGTAGGAAGGTATGTTGGATTTTGGCTCCAATCTCGTCTCACAGTGGTTCTCATCTCAGGCTATGCTAACCTCCATTTTAACATCATGTATCACAGTTGTCGCTGGAGTGAGAGGAGGCGTGTGAAAGAGGGATAATTGGATTAAAATTGAGAGGGGCCAGGGGCGAAGCGTCTTTGCATCAAATACCTCTTCTGTTCCAGCTAGTTGAGCTCCACATTTCCCATTCATTTGGTGTTTTCTTCCACCACGTCAATGTCGCCATCCTTGCCAAACGTATGATTTTGTTCTATTATGCATCTACTTACCAAACTTTATCTTGTGGTTCGACAGTTTTTCTCCGTGACTTTTGCAATCATTCACATTACCGACCAGTCCCATCTTATCTGCCTACCAAACTTTATCTTGCGGTATGGCTGATTTTGGCGGTGAGATTTTTCACATTAATTGTGACAGAACTGTTTGTGCTTGAGGGTTATTTAGTTCATCTCATCTTCTCATCCAGAGTTTATCTGGCATATATTTTGTCTAAAAATTTCCCAATATAGATTTGAAGTTTTAGGCTCCTTTAAGCATAATACCATCAATGGCATCTTCTTCCACTCTGTCCATTCACAAGAGTTTTAGATATGATGTGTTTTTGAGTTTTAGAGGTAAAGACACCCGTACCAACTTCGTTGATCATCTGTATTATGCTCTACAGCAGAAAGGCATTCACACTTACAAAGATGATGAGAGAATTAAGAAGGGCAAAAAGATCAGTGATGAACTCATAGGATCCATCCAAGATTCAAAACTCTACATCATTGTTTTCTCAAAAAACTATGCCTCTTCTTCCTGGTGTTTGGATGAGCTTGTGAAGATAATGGAATGTCACAAGACCAACGAGCATACTGCCTATCCTGTATTCTATGATGTGGAGCCCTCTGAGGTCCGCAACCAAAGTGGGGCAGTTGAAAATGCCTTTGCTAAACATGAAAACAAGGAGGCTGCTGGGAAATGGAGGGAGGCTCTGAAAGAAGCTGCGGATCTGGCTGGGTGGGAGTTGAAGAACACGTCTGATGGGTAATTCCTTCATCATAGTTTTGCATTAAACCCCTTCTTTCCCTCTAGTGTTGGCCAAACTTTTGTTTGACTTGACATTGAATATAATATTAGACATTACCCAACCAGCATGGATGGTATCTTTCTGAAAAATCCGACTCAATACCACTATGTGCCCAACATCGTGTTTGCAAAATTGTGGCCAAAATCAGGATAAAATAATTCCCATACGTTTTCCATTTAAATATTTTATAAATTTAACAAAAGTTATTTCTGATTTGTCATAATCCGACTCAGATGGTCAGATGGACGATTAGTACAATTCTTTCTTTTATTAATGTCTGCAATATTATTTTGTATTATTTCTTTCTGGGCTACGTTTACCCTGGATGTGTAAGGTTCGGACATGACATCTCATGTTGTATTGTGAAACTCTGAATCAAACCGGGAATGTTGTTGAAATAATAAACATGAAATATGATTATATACCTATGTTATTACTTCTTATGAGTGTGTATGTGTTAAAAGTAATTTTTTCTATGGAATTTTGGGAAGTTAATTGAATCTTATTAAAAACACAGGCATGAAGCTAAATTCATCAAAACAGTTGTTGAAGAACTTTCACTAGAGTTACGAGCAATCAATTTCAGTATTGATGAAAAACTAATCGGCATGGAAACCCGGATCAAAGATGTTTTATCATATTTAGGAACTGGTTTTGATGATGTTCGCATGATCGGGATCAAAGGAATGGGAGGTGGTGGGAAGACAACTTTGGCCAGAGCTGTTTTTGATCAAATATCCTTTCAGTTCGAAGGTAAAAGCTTCGTTGAGAATGTGAGAGAAGTTTCAAAAGCTTCTTTGTTCGGTTTAAAGTCATTGCAAAACCAAATCCTTTCAGATGTCTTAAATGATCAAGGCATCATTGTAAGTAGTATTTATGACGGGAAAAACATGATGAAGAGGAGGATGGGTGGTAAAAAGGTTCTTCTTGTTCTAGATGATGTGGATCATATAGAGCAACTTGAGGCGTTAGCATGTGAGCGGAATTGGTTTAAGCCAGGAAGCAGGATTATCATTACAACAAGGGATGAGCAAGTGCTGGTAGCACATGGAGTGAAGTCGATTTGTAACGTCAGGTTGTTATCGGATAAGGAAGCAATTTTCCTCTTTAGTAGGTTTGCATTTGGCAGAGAGATTCCCAATCTGGGGTATGAAGAGCTATCACGACAAGTTGTACATTATGCTGCTGGTCTTCCTTTAACAATCAGAGTTTTGGGTTCGTTTCTCTGTGGTAAAAATGAGCTTGAATGGAAAGATGCCTTAGAAAGACTAAAAAAAATTTCGGTATCTGAAATTTTAGAAAAATTGGAATTAAGTTATATAGGTCTAGAGGAGGATTACAAGGAAATATTCCTAGACGTTGCATGCATACTGAAAGGTTGGTCAAAAGTGTTAGCAATCAAAGCTCTTGAAAGTTGTGGATTTCATGCTAGAGTTGGTTTAAGAGTTCTTGAACAAAAATCTCTCATAACAATTCATGATAATCTTGATGATGGTGAGTGTCTAGGCATGCATGACCATATTGCGGAAATGGGCAGGAATATTGTTCGTCGTTTGCACCCGGATAAGCCTAACAAACATAGTCGATTATGGATTAACAAGGAAAATGATGATATATTGGCTAATGACTTGGTAAGGATCAAATTTATTTCTACGTTAAACATTTTAATTTATTACAACACAAGTTTCATGGTAACTTCTTTTGGATTACAGGGTACTAAAGCAACAAGATGTATGCAATTCTATACTCGGAAGCTCAGTCCTGAAATTGTAATGAAGGGTCTTAGAAAGATGAAGGAACTTAGATTTCTCGACTTGTCTGTGGGATTTATCGGTGCACGTAAAAGTGATGTTTTTCGTCGGAATTGGAAATTTTATGAACTTCCAAATGCTTTACGATATCTGCATTGGGACCATTACCCTTTTAGATCTTTACCCAAAACATTTCAGGCAGATAATCTTGTTACACTTCAGATGGCCGATAGCAGAATTGTACAACTTTGGGAAGGGAGAGAAAGAAAGGTAGAATTATGGTAGATTGATTCTTTTGTGTCACTCATTCAAATGCTATACATCCATTTCTTTGTAATTCACCACTATACATTATTTATTTGCTTATGTTAGGTTCTTAACAAGCTGAGATTCCTTGACCTCAGTTACTCCATGTTGAAGACCCTTGATCTTGGGCTTACTCCAAATATTGAGACGTTGAATCTTAAGGGATGTTGTAATTTGGTAGAACTTCACATGCTTGTTGGATGTTTTAAGCTAATAACCATCGACCTCAGTAGTTCAATGTTGAGGACCCTTGATCTTGGGCTTACTCCAAATATCGAGACGTTGAATCTTAAGGGATGTTGTAATTTGGTAGAACTTCACATGCCTGTTGGATGTTTTAAGCTAATAACCGTCGACCTTAGTAGGTCAATGTTGAGGACCCTTGACCTTGGGTCGGCTCCCAATCTCGAGCTGATAGACCTTGAAGGATGTTCGGATTTGGTAGAACTTATAATGCCTTGTAGATGTCCAAATCTTAGATCCCTCATACTCAATAATTCAAAGTTAAGAACCCTTGACATTGGGCAGACTCCGAATATTGAGTATTTAGATCTTAAAAATTGTTATGATCTAGAAGAACTTTGCATGCCCCATGAATGTCAAAAGCTCACATTCCTCAACATTAGTCGTTCAAAGTTGAGGAACCTTGACATCGGGCTGACTCCAAATCTCGAGAAATTAGATCTCAAAAAGTGTTACAATTTGGTAAAACTTAACATGGCCGATGAATGTCTAAGAAAGGTTGTCTACTTGGACTTAAGTGGTTGTTTGAGGTTTAAATCTTTTCTGTTTCACATAGGTGGTGATGCTTCTTATAGTAAGATGAATGCTTCTTTTGGGGAGGGTGATGCTTCTTGCAGCGAGGATGATGCTTCTTGTGATGAAGGCGATGCTTCCTATAGTGAAGATCATGATGATGAATCACTTAAGGTTGGCCCTTTAGCTGAGTTACATCTCATTGCGGAGTCCCTAGATGGATGCCCATTTCACCCTGAAAGTAATTTGCCAAAGTTTCAATTTTCATGTTTTTATAAAGAAGATAAACCCTTCTTAACTAGAAACCTTGAGAAGCTTATCGCTGTAGGTTTATGTGCTTGCACAAATGTTGAGACGTTTTCAAGAAGTATTTGCGGGTTACAACATTTAAGAAAGCTTAAACTCCAACACAATAATCGACAAACAATTCAGTTTAAGGGCCTAAAGTTCTTCATGGACCTTGACCTGCTAGAATATCTAGAGAAGCTAGATTTGATTCCTCTAAAATCTCCCAAAGTTAATGTATGTTCGTTTCTTGAGAAGTTATCCGAGGATCTTGGCCCATTTGAATCTTTAAAGAATCTAACTGTTACATTTGCAATGATTAAAGATCTCCCTCATTGCATTTGTATGTTGAAACATCTCGAATCTCTCAAACTTAACAATTGTTCTGTGCTTGAGAAGTTACCTGAGAATCTTGGCCGATTAGAATGTTTGAAGAAGCTAACTTTGACAAACGCAAACATTAAAGATCTTCCTGATAGCATTTGTATGTTGAAACATTTGGAATCTCTCAAACTTAATTATTGTCTGTTGCTTGAGAAGCTACCTGAGGATCTTGGCCGACTAGAATGTTTAGAGAATCTCGACCTCAGCTATTGCAAGTTATTACGAGATATCCCGGACAGCATCTGTAAGATGAAATGTCTAAAATATCTCAGTCTCTACTCTTGTACTCAACTTGAGAAATTGCCTGTGGAATTTGAGCGTTTAGAATGTTTAAAAGAGTTAGATTTAAGAGGCACGTGCATAAGACATCTTCCGGAGAACATCTTCTTCTTGAGGCGTATTATTGGGTCAAGAGAGGTTCCTTGTGTTGAAATATTAGGCTGAACTTAGTATTTAGTAAATGTCGTTTAAAGAAAGATGGGGCAGTTACAAGTTGGTAGTTATTGCTCTAAGGGTTGCAATGGTGACACAACCATTATGATGGCTCAAGAATATGCCAACCATTATGATGGTTCAAGAATGTGACGTATACTCTCTATATATACATGTAATAATCTTATGTAAAATTTATTGATTAGGTGATTAATAAAAATGCTTTTTGTTTTCTGTACAAGAATCTCTCTTTCTATCTCCTTGTCTCAATATGCTTTCTCCAATACTAACGTCATCTGGTTTTAGATCCGAGATACAAAGCTTAGGATGGGGAAATGCAATAAACTATGTGGATGTGACGATGTGTGAATAACTCAGGCACCCACAATATAGGAGTTTCCTCTAAGTATGGTGCTCCAGGGATGATTTTGAGAGGCTCTGAAGGCCCGGAAAAAAGCCAATTAACAAAGATAGAAGACTATAACAGGTACTTTCTTTGTTTTCTATGGTCATCTTACATTGGTTAGAATTGTGAAATTGATATGACAATAATTAATTTTCTGCCAAAATTATAATTGTATTAAAATAAAATACAAGTGCTATGCATACTTGAAGCCACTTGCGCCACACTTGAAGCCACTTCCGCCATCCATATTCCTGTTGCACCATGATGGCGCAAGATGGACCATCTTGGTCCTTGATGAGCCAAGTATGCTATGAAGTCTTTTATGATGCTCAAGATGCAAGAATGTTCTAGAAGATGTTGCATGGCATAATATGTTTGGTTGTCACCATTCATGGGCCTATGGGCCAATAGGCTTGGCCCATTAGAGTTTTAGGTCTGATCCCTCAAGTATAAATAGGCTCATACCCTCATCATTGTAAATTGCTAGATTTCTATGAAAGCTCAAAGTGAGATACAATTTTGAGTGTTTGTAATTGTTCTAGAAAGTTAATAAAATCCTCTCTCTCTCTCTCTCTCACTCTCTCTCTCTCTCGTTCGCCCGTGGACGTAGGTCACCTTGACCGAACAACGTTAAATATTGTATTCTTTTGATTTACATTTTTCAGAAGTTTTGTGAGTTTACCAAAGTTTGTGTTTTGGTATTTGTCTGAAGTGCTTAACTTGTTTTGTTGTCACCCAACATGTACAATCGGCACATCATCCACAGTCATCTTACCCTTATCTCGGGTATCGATATTATAGGAGACATACTTGAAACAACCTTGATGAAGATAGCATCTGGCCCTAGCTGCTGAACATAGAATCGGCCCACGACGAGCACTCCCCCCCTGAATCACTAACTCTCCCCTACTTGAGGTCCGAATGTGCACCAAATGATGCTCACAATCCATCACTGCCCCATTGGGGCTTAACCAGTCCATCCCCACGATAACCTTGTTCCCGCGTAAAGGGATAGGAACCAAATTAATTGGAAATTCCTCACTAAACATCTCTAGAACAGAATTCCGATGAACCCTCGATACCCGGACAAATCGATCATCCACAATCTCAACCTCTAAAGGACAATCCAGCTCACCCGGAGCTCCAACAAACCTCTAGCTGAGCGCAAGACATAAGAAAGATCGGGTAGCCCCCGAATCAAACAATACCAAGGCAAAGATACCGTTACTGGGAACGATCCTATAATAAAACCACAAACAAAAGAAGAAAAATCAACATAAATAAAGAGATAAAGAGAAGATACATACCCGTCACCACATCAGGTGTTGCATGAGCCTCCTCGGCTGTCAGCTGAAAGCCCTGCTCCTCACAATAGGCGCATCCACCTTGCCCTGGCCGCTATCAGTAATCCGTAGAGTCGATGGGTCGGGTGCTACCATTGGTCCTGCTGCTTCCAAACTTGGACAATTGGCCTTCTTATGGCCCCTCTGATTCCAATGGAAGCAAATTAGGTCATATGTCTGGGTGGTGGTGGTGGTAGCAGTACAATCCTTGATAATGTGACCCCTCCGGCCGCACTTGAAGCAACCAAAACCACCCACCTCGCACACCCCTTCGTGCGTCTTGCCGCACTTGCCACAGCGGCCCCGGTCCTGCTAGCCCCTCGATCTCGAGTCAAATACCTTGGGCCTCTTACCCGAACTACCTGAACCCTGAATCTGATCTGACTTCCTCTTCCTCTCCATCTCTCTCTCTCTCTATCTCTCTCTCTCTATCTACCTACCTACCTACCTACCTACCAACCTACCTACCTACTTACCTACCTACCTACCTACTCACCCACCCATCCAGTGTCTTGTAACTAGATCGGCTCACAAACTGTCAGATCTCTCTCCTCAACATCTCATGGTATCTCGCCTACTTCATCTCCTCATCCGCCCTATACTGCAGAACCAGCAACGCCCTCTCGCGGAACATATCGGTGATCTCAGCCACCATCTTAGTAGTCTGGCGAAGATACTGAAACTCTCTCGCCAACTGCTACAGATCACCAGTGCAAACTTCGTTCGGAATCTCGTCACAAAATCATCCCATGTCATCGAATCAACTGTCGCGTCTCCTATAGCGCGTCCAACTTCCTCCCACCAGTCTCGGTCTTTGTCTTTCATAAAATAGGAAGAAAGTCTGACCTTTGCCCCCTTGGGACAACTGCTAGTGCGGAAGGCATTAGTAACATCCGCTAACCATCGTCTACTCGCGATCGGGTCCTTCTCCCCGAAGTAATCTGGAACCCCACATGCTCGGAACTCGCGGAAGGTCAAAGTGCGAGCTCCCATTAATGCCACCATCTCTGATCGAAAAGCGCTCAAGCGCTCATCAAAAATATCCAGAATGCCCTCCTTGACCGTACCAAAGATCACAGGAGTCTACTCAAGTATGATGTGGGTAATCTCAGACGAAATAGGCTCCCGCGTCCGATCATCCAACTATCGGGCTCCAGATCCTGAGCCTGAACCGTCACCAGCACCATAACCACTAACCGGTCTTCCTCGAAGAGTCACCATACTAAAAATAGACCATACAAACCATCAGAATATGCATAAATTTATGTCGAGGATTCTCATACCCTATAAGCTTCCTGGTATCATCATAGCTCTCCTTGAATCAAGTACGGATCCTCTGTTCCAATATTACGGGCCCATACTACCTTCCACATCTATCCGTACTTTCCTCAAGGATCGCTCCGAATCCTCCAAGTCACTCCCTTATCCATACATACATCCCTCAACAAGACAAGGCTCCCAGCACTAAATCTCTTCCTAGGCATTTCCTAGGGCAATCACCACACCACTCTCCACTATCAGCTACAGAAGGAACTCCCTCTAAACCCCCTCTAACTAGCTCACAAATACAATTACATATCACCGACACTAGATGATTCTTCGAATGAAAGGTCTCACACTATAATGGTTGGACTCAAACAAGAGCTATGCAATAGAGTTAAAACCTAACCTTATAAACTTATTTAGTCTCAATGATATGTAACTTAGCATATTCACTTACTAGTTAGCTGAAGTTAATGAAAACTCCTAAAAAGCACAAAGCAAGCAGCATTCAGGAATCGAGTAATCGGAATCAAGCATAACCTAAACAGGTTGTCCTATCAATCACAGATCAGTACGAGCATGCAATTCTACAAGCTCATATAGCAGGAATACAAAGGCATCTCCCCTAGATCCTTTTCCCTAATCTAGCATGCGATTCACAAGTTCACAAATCAAGCATATCATAAAACATGTATGGGTATTTTGGGAAAAATTACTGGACCTCGGTCGATTTCATGCACCACACCCCTTTCTCTTGTCAGAAAACTCTTTTTTATAAAAACATTCCTTTTATAAAATCAACCAAATCCTCAGTTTGAGTTTAGAAACACCCAAGAGTACGCTTGAATCCCTCAAACCAAGGTTCTGGTACCAACTTCTAACGTCCCAAAAATTCAGACCAAAATTTTTGATTTTTAAAAATAATAAAACCATCAATCATATCTTGTTCATAATGCCATAAAAAATCGTAACATGTCAATAACTATCCAAATACATTAGAGTCATAAAGATGTGAAACAATGTGGTGTGTGCAATGCAGTAATCCCGAGCTCTTCCCCTTTGACCTAGAAGTACCTGAAACATAAAATGAAAACCGTAAGGACGAAGCTTAGTGAGTTCCCCAAAACACCACATACCATACATATCAAACTTATAATAGGCCCCGCCCGGCATCGAGCCCCGCTCGGAACAGATCTATCAGTCATCAGGCCCCGCCTAGCTTCTAGCCCCGCCCGGTATACATACAAACACATAAACACATGCAAGAATCACAAAGACAAATAACATACAATATAGTCATCAGGCCCCACCTAGAATCATGTCCTGCCCGGTATACATATAAACACATACAGGTAAATAACATACAATCTACTCATCAGGCCCCACCTGGCATTGGGCCCTGTCCGGTTTACATATCAGATATCGTACATGCGGAGTCGACCAGACAACTAGCATCCAAACCATAATAAATCATAGGCTGGCATTGGTGCCTTCGACCCACCAAACACAGTGAGGAAACTCACCTCAAGCTGTTGAATATATCAGATACAATCTCAGTCTGTTGGTTCGGAAAATCCATGCGCTACATAATCAAATAATATTCAATTAATAATTGGATCTCAACCCATCATCAAGAATCTAAATTACTTGTCTAACACTAAGGGTAAAAGACCATTTTACCCTTTTCTTACTTGGCCTTAATCCACGTCCCAACCCATTTACTCAAAAGGACCAAATTCATAAATGACATCCCAAGGCCCATTATGCCCCAACTTCTTATTTGAGCCCAAAATCATCATGGACCTAATTCCAAGAGAGCACATAGTCCATCCACGGCCCAAAGTCAAAAGTTCAATGGCCCAACAATGCCCAAACCCTAAAATCCCAAAATATGGCCTAAACTCGTGAAAGTCAACCCAAAAGCCAAACAGCTGAGTACGCTAGGCGTACTCAGACTTACACTTAGTCTACCCCTACTAGGGTCAATACACGCAACCTATGAGCTGTTACTCCCCACGTACTCCGCAGACTACAAAACCAACTCATTAAGCACTTAATCGGTTAAGCCAACATGCCAAATTTCTAGATCTGATTCTAGGAAGTTTCTTAACACATAAAGTTGGAAACTTTACTCCAATGCATGACTTAATTAGGCCTAAAAGTCAAAAAGAGCCATAACAAAGAACCTAACTCATGCATGGACCAAGATATTTCATAAAGGTTGCATTTTTATGGACAAGGGACCACAAATGTGCTAAGATCTAACCCCTATGGCATCTGAAGTAGACCATAAAATCAATATAGCTCAAAAGACCCAAAAATGCATAAATAACACCCTAAATTGGATCTAGCATAAAGAACCGTCAAGATGAGAGATTTTTGCCTCAAATGACTTGCTAAGAAGAAGATGACTCTGGATCTATAAGCTTCATACCAAGCAATGAATCTTCAATAACCTTCTACCTTTTCAAAATGCACAAGTAAACACTAATATCCTTCACAAGAGCTCAAGAACACTAAAATGGTGGTTATAGATCGAGATTAGGGTTTAGAAGATAAGGAGGCTAGCAAGAGGCAAGGATCAAGAGACATAATGAGCTT